CCTTTTTTGACTGGTGTCTATTGATAAGGAGTTTCCTGGTGCTGCAGTCATGTTCTTTCCATTCTACTGCTGTCCCAGGTAACTTGAGCATGTCTCCACAGACAAATCAGATGTGACTCTTTTCCACTCAGCCAGTGTCTCACTTTGCTGATTTGGTACTTGGATCCTTCACTGGACTCAGTGATAGTTGTGCTGTTGGTTTGTGATTCATCCCTGTTGTTGATACAGTGCAGGAATGTTGTGTTTGTTGCCTTGTGGTACTTAGATTGTGCTGAGGGATATTAAGGTGAATTTATTATCTTTATGCATCTTATTAAGTGTTTTTATTTTTACTCTTTATTACGCCAGTCCAAAATAACTATTCATGTGTCATCATGGCCATTTTGAAAGAAATTATGTCTTACTGATTTGGGCAACACAATCTATATAGAATATAGAGTATATAGAATATAGAACATATAGAATATTGGGCAACAATCTAGATAGAATATTTTGTGCTCTTCCTGTTCCCTCTCTTCTTCCAGACTTGCCTCTCACCAGACAGGATTTTTCTCAGCAGATGGAAAGCCATTCTGAGTTAAAGTGCTGCTCTCATTATTGCAGTTTCCTTTAAAACATGTATGACTTCTGGTTTCTTTCAGTTGGCCAAGTCCAGCGTTGAAGGCAAGATTCCAGTCCCAGTCCATGGCTGCTGGTCTTCCAAATGCTTCAGTGTATCCTAGTTCAGGAAGAAACAGTCCCATCCCAGGAAGCCCGGGGAAACACCACGGCACCTCCTTCCCTCCGGAGCCGGGCAGCCCCGGGCGCTACAGCCCCGCCTGCATCCTGCGCTACTTCGCAGAGCCTCCTGCCCACTAGAGTGCAGCTCCTCGTCCTGGGACTTCGGTTCTGTTCTCGTTGTTAGAGTGGAGGAAAAACTACAATGTTACTAAGGTGACAGGAGGTTTGTACTCAGCTATTTATTTTTCCTCAATTGAGGACAACTGTATGTTTAAACAATGGAGTATATGTCTTAATGCCACACACGAGGTAGATTATTACTGGTGATAAGCAAGAAGTTTGTGAGTGCAGTTGTCCAGTAGCTGAATTAACCCTTGTTGCCAGTACCACAGTGGGCTGAACTGTCCTTAGCAATGGTGGTAATTGCTATCACTGCTTATCCTCATTGTAATGAACACACAGCCCTCAACTGCCTTTCTTGACCTTGGATAGTGGAGGAAATGCACCATCAGCAAATAGAATGTGGGAGAGGAGGCTGATGGCAGAAACGTTCTGCTTGCAGGGGGAAAAGCCTAAAACATGTCTGGGAATGTGAGGATAACTTTGCAGTGTGGAGCAGAGATGTGAACCCCTGTGCAGAAGCAGAGAGTGTCTCCAGCCAGCTGGGCTGGGCAGTTGATACCCACAGCCACCCTCACCTGTCTGTCCGTGTGTGTGTGCACAGAGACCTTGGAGGCTCTGCTTGTTCTGAGGCTGTTACAGACACTGAGATCTACCCAGTGCTTTAGAAACTATAGGGCACTGTAGAAACTATTGGGATTCCTTTAGTGGTAGTGGAAGATTTAAGGAAAAGAAAAGCTTAAGAATTAGCTGGTTATTTTTTCCCCAGAGAAGCTATTAACACTAGCAGATTTGAATAGTTATTACACAAAAGCACATCAGCAATAATCTCAGCAAATTTACCAGCAAGATAACTTTATCTTAATGGTCTGGTTTGTAATATATTAGCATGGTAGCCAGTGGCCCAGGAGGTGGCTATTTCCCAGCTGTAAAGAGAGAGGACTAAGGATAAAATATTTTTATGAAATCTGAGCTTTTACTGTGGCTCTAGTGTTGATGTGGTAATGAGTTTTTGTTACAGCAGTCAATAATTTTATTCTGCAGCCTTCTGTAAGAATGACTTGTTTTGACAGCGTGATGCTGAGAATAAGAAAGCTTTTCAAAACTCCAGAGAGTTTTCCATATCAAGCCTAGTGCTTGTAATGTTGCATGAAAGGCTTCCAGAAACAGCTCTCTAGGTTAAAAAAAAAAAGAAAAAAAAAGGAAAAAAGACCTATCTACTGTTACAAGATAAATCTGATCAGAAAATGAAGTTCTGCGGGACTGTGCTGGTGAGAAGGGGTGGATTAGGATGGGCTGGTGCCACACAGTCAGTGAGAGCTCAGAGCCACCTGGCAGGGCTGGAAGAGAAGGGCACCAAGCTGAGCAAACACGGGTGGGAGGCAGGAGGGGCTGGCCCAGCCTCCCCCAGGTCCCACCCAGCCCTCGGGGCCATTCCAGAGCCGGGCTCTCACACGGCAGTGACTGTTCTACACAAACTGTGCACCCTCACAGCTTCGTGATTGGTACAAACCTAAACACTGCACTTAATGCTTTTGCAAGCTCAGTAGTGCCTTTTGTAATATATTTTTTTAATTAAATTTTTTGTTCTTTTGGAAGTTTTTTTTAAAAAGTGGCATCCACTTACTATGGGCAGATAAAATACAGTTTTTCTCTGGGCTTTCTGAACAGGATGTCTTTTAATGTCTTTAAGTTGGATTATTTGGTGCGATAGCTCTCCATGGGGGGAGAGACTCCTCTTTTAGAAATTATTAAAAAAAAAAAAAAAGAAAAGGATTATTTTACTCTTTTGTTAAAATTGAATCTAGTTCTATTTAGCTGGACATTAGGAAGAGCTACTTTACATAAATGCCTCTCATTCAGCCATATTCCAGACAAGTACCAGGGGCCTGGGGGGGGTGTCATACTTTAGGAAACATGTTAAAAAAACCCCAGAACCAAAACCATTGCCTTCTGCTAATAAGTATGTTAACTGACTTATTTCATAAGGGTTTCTTGTTGGGTTGTTTTTTTAATTTTTTATGTAGCAGGCTCCATGGTCTCAAAATATTTTAAATCCCACATACATAGAGTTTTACTCCCAAAGGGTTCAGATTGGCATCTTGGAGGTTTTTTTTTGCTGGGTGGTTGGGTTTTTTTCAATAATTTATTGTAAATTACATCTTTATCATTCTGGAGAAATTGATCAGCTGCTGTAATTGCCTAATGCCATGTTACAGCCAAACTGCTGGGGTCAGTTGCTGTGGGTGCAGCTGCTGTTCCCCACCCTGGTCCTTCACAGCTGTGGTACAGCAGCATTGCCCTTTTGCTAAGAGTTTGGCACTGAGCCAGGAGACTGATACTAACACTCTAGTTCCTTGTCCTTTTTACTTTTATTATGCTTTGCTTTATTTTTTTAATATTTAAATGTATGTTACTGGTATGTACATGTAGCCAGACACCCCCCACACACCCACCACACCCTTGCCTTTCACTTTGTAATGTTGTTTTGGTTCAGTCAGGAGAGTATTTTTTTAACTGTGTTATATAATGTGCATTAGTCCAGTTGTACTTCACTTAAGAGGTCATTTTTCTAACAATGTTACTTCAGCTATGACAGAAATAGCAATTTATGCAGCAATTTGATCATTTGTGATTTTGTGAAGAAAGCCCTTCAACACTGAGCCTGTGGAGACACTTTAAATCAGAGTGATAGTGCTTGAATTGTGTTTTCTTGGCCAAAAGTTCACTTTTAAAGGTGCAAAATAGCTGTGTTTTTGTTGGTTGTTTTTTAATTAGCAAAGTGTCATGTTAAAAATACAGAAGTATCCCACTTTCTATTAAAATCAAATAAATAGCTGAAATGAATAGCTGTGTTGAATATGGGATGTGGGGAGGAGGAGCTGGGCATGACAGGGCAACTCACTGGCTCGTCCAGGCCTTGCTTGTACAAGAGCTGCAGCCTTTGTGTGTGTGCACAGTGACAATGGAGTACACCACCACAGACTTAAGGCTCCAGCAGTGTTGAAGAGACAGGAACTCAGCCTATGGCAAAAAAGACATAATTTTAAATTTCACACTTTCCACCCCACCTTAAGTGTCACCAAAACTATTGTTAATTTTTGTACCTGTGCAGAGAGGTGTTGTGTCCTCTGGTTGCCCACCACGAGCTCATTCACTGACACAGGGGATGTGTGTGAGAGGGTACACGTGCACCCACACAACACTAAAAATCACAGAATTTTCATCTCACAGGGGCTGGTTCCTCGTGGTGGTGACAGAGTCCTGCAAATGGCTGTGCTTAGGCTACAGCAGTTCCCCTCTTGGGCAGCTCTGTGGCTGATGCCAATTAACTGCTCTGGCTCCCAGCTCCAGTTCACATTTCAGGTGGCTGGTGAAAGAGCTGTTGCCCTGAGCAGTGTGGGACACACCAGGTCCTGCACCAGCAGGCCCTGCAGAGCTCCAGCCACACCTGTTAGAGCTGCCCATGCAGCCATTCAGCTGAAGAGACGGGAAAGACAGACAGACCAAGTATTTTATTCAAAACTTTAAAAAAGTTAATAGACAAAAACTGGTAAATTATTCTCATTGCATCAATGAGAGATACATCATGATGGTTTCCTCTTGCCCCCCACACCTTACACCACACAAGAATCAGTTTGTTCCTACCCTGTTCCTTGAACTTATCCTGATGTAGCAGCAGTTCGGTATCAAGCCCTTAAATCCTCTTCTCCATAGGCTGTGTGCCCTGGTTATGCTTCATAGAGCTCTGACAGGAGTAAGTTCAGCATCTCATCAACATCCTTATTGATCAGAGAATCTGTCAAACAAGTTAGTTATGTCTGCTGTCCTACTATTAACTGAGCCAAGTTTCTACACTGGCTCAGGGTAGCCAGCAAGCTTCAGAATGCTTCTGAGCCCTCCCCTCCCACAGGCCCAGCAGCATCAGAGCTGTCTGAAGGGGGCCCTTGAAGCATTCTGCCCAATGCCTGTCCTATACACTGACCCTGGAGAAGCCACCCCATGGCCACTGCTCACCATTCTGGCCACAGCAGTTTGCTGCAGCACCTCTGACCTGCAGCATCACTACCCTGAACTCAGTGGTGGTATTGCTCTACTCCAAAAGTAAGGTATCAACAAATACAAATCAATGGGAAAGAGCACTCAAAAATGTAAAAGCACTTTGAGAAGATTGCTGCTTTCCTTTCCTCCCATCTTACTGCTACAGTCTCATCCCTACAGCCTTCTCCAGACCATGTTTTGGTTAAAGGCTTTACAAGACTGAAAAATATTCTTTAAACATCTTAAAGGACATCCTGAGGATGGTGGAACACTTAATATAAGCAGCAGTTAGTTCTAGCACCACAGCTCTGAGGCAAATGTTTTTTTACCCTCTTTCCTTCATGCTCATAACCTCCAGGCACAGTTTTCATGGGTTTTTTGGGGGCAGAGGGGAACAATGACACAACATCAACATACACACTCAACAGCTTACAAAAACTGAAGCTTTATCCCTTTGTCCTTTGGAAAGCAGAATTCCCTGTTTGTCCCTTCTGCAGGAGCTGGAACAAGCTGGCTCACCTTTTGTTTTAGCTGCAGTGTGATACAAGGCTGTTCACACCAATCACTTTCCTGCACAAGAAAAATACCCACAGGAGCAAGCTTTGGTTAGAGAAATTCACAGCGGGGTGAGGGAAAAGTCAGTGCTCTCGCAACTGCTGAGCAGACATTCAACCTGTATTCCACAGCTCAGCTTTGAGTTTGGGGGAATACTTAAGGACTGGCCATGTTCAGGCTCACAAAGGTTTCTTCTTTTCTGGACTGAAAGGCAGGTATGAATATGAAGGAGGAATGGGGCTAAAGGACATTTGAAGACAGCATCACACCCCAACGTAATAAAAACCTAGTGGTACTGTAGCAGAATGTGCTAGTGCAAAGAGACCCAGAGGCAGCTCTGGACAGCCTGCGTCCGTTGGCGCGCTCAGGTGCGCGTGATCTTGTCCGGGGGCATGAAGCCCGTGTCACCCAGCGTTCGAAGGGCCACTCTGCCGTTGGGACGGATCACCAGGTGAGTGATGCTGCCGTTGTTGAGAGACAGTCGCAGCCAACCTTCTGGGGGGAACTGCAGTGCTCTGGGGACAAAAACACACAGTTAGATTAACCCAGCCCTCACAGCATCACCTTCTATCCCAGACAGGGGGAGAAGGAGGGGGAAACTCAAAATTAGTGGGCATTGTGCAGCTTGTGTACCAATGCCCCCAGTCAGCCTTGGAAAAAAGCTTTTTCTTGTGGAAATGCTGTAAAACCACAGCGTTGGTAACTGGAGCAGGGCCAAGAGTGCCCTTGGCTAAGCAGAGCCCAGCAGATGGGTGTGATTACTGCTGACAGGATTAGTTCAAGTGGACAGAAGGCAGCAGCTCCACACAATGAGGCTGCCAGGAGTGCTCTGAGCAGCCCCCTCACAGCCAGGGCAGGGGATGGCCCAGCGAGGCTGCAGCACCTCAACACCTGTGCAGGTGGGACAGAGCTGGCTCAGCACCCCAGGGCTGCCTGAGCAGAGCACCTGGATGTGGCAAACAGTGACTGACACACTCCATTTCAGCCACACCCCCACAGCAAAGGCAGTGACACAGTATTCCCTCCAGTGGCCTGCATGTCCCTAGGGAACAAATTCACTGGAACTACTTTCAATGGGCTACATCATTCCCCAGGAAGGACAAGGACAATTGTGCCTTCCACGGAAACAGCATCACAGCTGGTCTGCAGCCATTCTGAATTTCCTAACTCAACAGCCTCAGGAGCTCCATCAATTGTATTAAACAGCTGGAAAAAATTCCATGTTGCATCAAACGGCTTTTGCCTCTGATACCAAGGAATAACTTTGTTTTGGCTCTTATGACAGTCTTGTAGAAAGCCCAAAAAATTAAATACCAGCTACAGCCAAGCTAGATTTGAAGGAAATAGTACAACTGAATACAATCCATGTAATATCAGATTGTCTGCAATCGAAGGCGCAGAAGAGACATTAAAATGAAGAGGAAGGCAACAGCAAAGAGAAAAGGTATGTAAGTATTTCAGATAAAGCCTTGGCAAGAACAACGAGGTATTTTTTTGCACAGGAAAGAATAGCCTGTTTACCTGATCAATAATTTCAAGTATAGCAATTTTGAAAAGCTCTAAAACAGCCCACAGAGCAGACAGGCTAGCATTTACCTAGCTCAGCTAAATAAAGCTAACTGAAACTGTTGTAGGTATTGATCAGATTAAAGTTTAATCACATCTGTCCTGCTTACGACAAATTATCTTACAGACAGTGCTTTGTTGATGGGGAAGAGGAATAAAATAGATTCAGCTGACTGGATACTCAGAGACAGGCAAAAATCCAGGACTGTTTTCTCCTTTATGAACAGCCTTGATGTTATCGGAAAGATCCACTCTCCCTTTAATGCAATACTGGATGCTACTGCAAAGACACACTAATGCAACTTCAACATAACTCAAAAATATCCATTAGTAAAGAATTCCCAAAACTGAATCAATTTTTAATTATGTAAGCTCAAATTCATGTCACCTCAAAGAGATGCATCCAATAATGCATCTATTTGTAATCTTTTCCAACAGGCACTACCCTCAGGTTTATGGAAGCAGAAGCACGTAGTAACTAAAGTAACTGTCCAGATGCACAAAAAAGGTTAAGTTTCACTTGACTTAGCCATTTTTGCTTTAGAATTAGAATCAAAGTGTTCTAATTATCAAATGTACCTTGATGAAGTTGCAGCAGCAGCTGCTCACAGTGCAGGCACTGATCTCCAACACTTCAAAGAAGTGAAATCAACCCATCTCCTCCCTCAGTGGTGGCCAGGGCAGCCCTGCAGGATGAGCCCTCCCTGGGGCAGCCCCCGGGAGCAGGGCAGGCAGCCGTACCTGCAGACGATGTAGCGGATGACGTTGGCGTGGCACACGAAGATCTCGTAGCTGTCCTCCTCCTGCTTGGCGTCCGCTCGGTGGATGAAGTTCCGAAAGGCAGCCTCGATGCGGGCTCCATCTTCGTAATACTGCTGAGGGCACAGTTACACACAGCTCACAGCAGCACTGCTGCACCCCTCATCTCCTCAACAGCTCCTGCTCACTGGCTGCACCCCTAGGGATGAACTAATGCTCAAGGACTGCAGGTTATTTTAACTGCTCTGCACACTTACTGAGGAGGAGGAAAGAATGCAGTTATCTAAGGGCTGTGATAACAAACATCAGCTCAAACACTGCCAGTTATTGCTACTGTCTATACAGAGTATACTGAAAAAAAACCCAAACCAAAAATAAATAAAAATAACTTTAAAGAAAAACTTACCACAGCTTCTGGTTTCCAGTGGGAGACTGGAGGGTCTGGTTCAATAGGTGCTCCCTCTCTCAGCAGATCAGTACTGATTTTTTTGACTCCTGAAATATTTAGATGCACATTCAGAAACAAGTTGCTCACATGCCATTACAAACAGCCCCACAACTCTACAGTCAATATATTTTTCACAGTCTTTCTTTGAGGAAGACTTACTCTCCAACATGAATCTTTCCAACAAAACTGTTTTGCCATCAGCAAGACAATTTATTCCAACTGAACAGAACAGCCTGTCTGTTACACTTTGAAAAAGTGTGTTTGTACTTCTAAAGATAAACTGGAAACAAGCAGAATTACAGCTGTAGGTTTCTTGATAAATACAGACATTCACACAGGGCTCAGAAATGGCTAAATAACATCTCATCCTTAAAGACAAGCTTAGAATTCTACTGTAAGCAGTTTTAAGAATCAGAAGACAACGAAAAATTAAGCAAAGTCTCTTACCTGGGAGATGTTTGCTTATAATTTCAGTGGTTTCAGTTGCTCTAGTCATGGAAGAGTGGATAATCTGATCAAATTTTAATCCCAAGCTTGCCAGCCTGCGTCCAGTCAGTTCAGCCTGCTCTCGACCTTAAAAAGCACATTCATTACAGAAATTGGTGACACTCCCATTAGAGCCTCACACAAACTACCAAGAGAGCTGTCCAGCAGACATAAAAGGTCTACATCAATGCTGGGCTTTTTCCTTTCCAAAAGCAACTGGAAAACATTTTCATCAGAGCCACTACTCAGGCCAGGCTTACTGACTGGACAATTTCAAGTCATACTCGTGTCAGTATGAAAAAAATTCTTTGTTTCAATTAGGGGAAAAAACCCCAAATCCAAAACTTACTCAGCAACTTTCACTGAAGTACTCAATACCCCTGCCAGCCCCATCCCCAGGAAGCAACAATCCCCCTCAGGCCTGACAGTGTGCTGCTGTTCATAAAGGCAACTGTGCCAGCTTGGCACAGTTCACAGCACCTGGGCAGCCTCAGGCAGGTTCAGCCCACCTTTCAGGCAGGCAGGTGAGAAGACAACAGACAGGTTAAGTCACTTACTTAAGGCACAGGATGAGACAGGATTAACACTGTGCTTTGCTACCACTTTAAGACTGCACTTAGGGCCTGCAATTAGCATTTCACTCCCGTTTGCACACCAGTAATTGAGATGTGGGTGGGAAAAAAGTCCAGAGTCATAATTCTTCCCCCTCTGAAAACAGTGTTGGCAAATATATAATCAAGGAAGTGTTCACTGCTTTTCAAGTACCTTATTAAAAGTAATACTAATTAGCATCTGAGACCCAGTCACAGGATCAGTGAGTTAAGATTAACACAGACAAAGGTTATCCTCAATTCATGTACGTGATTAGCAGTACTCCCAGAAACAGTGACAGCAGCAAAAGTGCAATGCATTTAATTATGAACACTCCAGCTGAAAGTCAGAGGCGTTTTCTTTTTAATAAATCAGCAGATTAAATTAAGAGAAACACAAGAAAAATTCATCTCAACGAAGTTTAAAAGCCACAGCCCTTAGGAATTACATCAGCTGGCACAAAAGTTTGCTAAAGCAACCTTAAGATAAGTTGGAATTTCCTTTGACAAGTTTCTTTACAACTGAATGTGTTCAGAACTCTCTAAATCCCATCTTAATGTTTGGGTCAAAACTGAAGAAAACACACTTATTCATGACATCTGTCTGCCACAAAGGAATACAGAAAGTAGACTGAGGTTAGGCAGCAAGACCCAGAACAGTGCTGAGTTAGTGACCACATCAGGTAAAAAATCATTTCCTCAAGATGCAAAGCACGATGCTGCTGGTGGTACCTACCCAGGGGGGTCAGAGTCCTGTCCTTATCAGCCCGGCCGTCCAGGTGGTACTGGGAGTGCCGGATCAGGAATATGTGCCTGGTGGCTTTTGCCTTGCAGTGATCCAAGCGAGAGGCCAGCTCTTCTTCCCCGGTTTCTTCATTTTTTTTTTTGAGGTTGATAAGAGCCAGTGGTTCACGTCTAAACAAACACATTTAAAGAGTCATTTTTAGAGAGGAGAGACTAAGAGGCAGGGGATTTTTACAGATATGTAGTCTTGCCTTAATTCCAGACATAGTTGAAGTTTAGCCACTTGTATCATGAAACTGATCCAAACCTTTGTGTGAAAAGTAAAAATAAATGCCTGCATGAAAAAAAGTTAATGCCATGGGTTGAAAGGCCTAACTTGATATAAGTAAATTTGCCACTTAGTCCCAGTCACCTGAATCAATTATTGGGGAAAAAGAAGCCGTGAGCAACAGAAAAACTTGTAGGGTATAACAGTATGGTTTTTGACAAGAAAAACTAACCAGGAAGGGTACCCAGGAAAAGAGGAAAAGGTGCTGACTAACCATTAAAGAAAGAAAATGCTTCATGTCTAAAAGGCCCTGTGATAACACCTACAAAATTTGCACTTTATCAATGCCATTTACATCAAATGACTAAAAAATCACCCCCCCAACATCCTAGAAAGACTCCAACCTTCTTCAGTACCCATTGAGAATTATTTTCTGCTTTAAACTAGGTCACATCAGGTCTCTCCAGTAACATTTTTATTTTTCAGCCTGGAGTGTTTTATTTATCCTTTCATCTTTTCAGCACTCTCTCCCCTCATGCCACTTTAATCTCTCTTCCACTTGTCACAGTGCACCCTGCCCTGCACATCACCCAGCCAGCTGACCTGGTTCTTCCTGAGCACAGGGATCTCCCCCTGTCTCTGCTGTCACAGGTTTAGTGCTGCAGATCTCCCACCTCCAGCACCAACCCTGCCCAAACCTTCCCTGGTCTGGGTCTGGGCCCCTCTCTGCACTCATCCTCCACCCCATTAATGCAAATCCTTTTTATGTCACTCCACCTAAGAGCGCATTTTATTCATGCCACACCTCACTTTTTCCAGTATTAAACTTGTTTATTTGATGATAGATTTTTCTTTTTTAATGGAAAATAATTTTTATTCAGTTTGGGACAAAGTAATTTGTTCACAGAAAATTGCTGCTTCCCACACCTACTTCTCACAGCAAGACTGGCTGTGCAAAGCCCTCCTGCCTCCATTTTGCTTTACTGAACACATGATTTCCATTAGGCAATGAGGCTCTACACAGTCCTCAAGCTGTTAATTCCTCAGCAAGGCATTAAAAATGAAACAACAGGCCAGTAACAAGAAGTTCTATTGCTACTTCACAGTATACTTTTGATTCACTGGAAACTATACTGCTGGCAAGATACAATAGGAAAACAAAAAAAAATCTTTAAAATCAATTCAAGCACATTAGTAAAGCAGCAAGGGGAATAACTCATCTGATGTCTGCCATTACATATTCCACATGAATGAAACCAGATCTGTCCTCTCTGAGAAATGAGCTGCACAATTCCTGTGCAAGTGGCAGAGACCAACATTCCACGTGTGATACCCTGTCAGACCAATAACAAGTTTGATATTTGCATTTGTTTGTTTCAAACTTGAAAAGCCATTGGTTGTTAAGAATATTGTAGGATCTAGTTATCTGCCTAAGACTTGACTTTCTAAACATTCTGCCCCCAAAGAACAGGGGTCAGATATTCTGTGTATTTATAAACCATTTAACAACTTGGCACATTAACTGCTTCTGCCAGTAACATCCAAAAGTCAAGATTAAGATTTCAAGCAGGCACAACCTAAGCCACAACCTGGTAGACCACAGGCAGCAGAAAACATTGATCTGGGGTAAGTAATATATTCCACTGCCACTGTTTGCACACTGACAAACGGTGATTGGCTATCCTGACCTGCTAGGAAGTATTATCTGGCCACGTTTGCTCAGGCAGTGGTGACAGCTCTGTAAGCTAAAGCACATTCTCTACTTCCTGGATGGGTTTTAAAAAAATTACTTGAGTCTGAAAGTACTGTAGAATCCTTGAAGAAAATCAACCATTTAGCAGAACCAGGAAGGCCTGGAGCTGCAGTTAAACAAGCAGCTTTAGTACCTCCCTCAGTATAATTGTGTAACCAGCTATAACCTTATTTAATGAAGGTGTTTTTATTACTGGGGTGTAGCCTAGTAATAGCCCTATTTACATAAGCATTTGATCCTGTAGCCTCTCAAAAATCAAAATTATTTATTATACAATAAAAAATCTGTTAATGCTTAGGTTTGGATTTACTATGATTAAGCTGGAGCCTGACATAAGTCTCCCCTGGGAGATAATTCTACCAGACTGAAGCCAAATGAGCCAAAGCTCCATGCAGATATCTGCACATTCTAATTAAAGATTCAGAAAAAATGCAGTCAACCCTTGTGTAAATGTGTTTCAACGCTGAAGAACACGAATGAGTTTGGTTCAAAGCCACAGTGCCTTTACAAGGATTTAAGCCAGGCAGCTCCATGAGCAGCAGGCCCCGTGCCTGCCCCGCACGTGAGAGCGCCTGGCATCCACAGGGAGCTGCTGCCGGGCTGGAAAACCCTGCTGCAGACACACAGCAACACCGAGGCATGGCTGGAAAATAAACAAAAAATACAAGCTTCTGCCCAGCTTACATTTAGCACAAGCCTGAGGCTTGGCAGTGTCGCTGGTGGAAAGCATCAAATAAAGGGATCTGCACAGGGTAATCTCCGAGCTGTCTGAACAAAACCCAGCGCCCGCTCATCCCTCCAGAGCTCCACCGCTCCACGGGTGCTCACGAACTTCAGCTGGAATTCTGCTCTGAGCGGGTCACCACACGGAATTCCACCGGCAAACGAGTCCCGTCGAGCCGGGGGCTGCTCCCGCGGGTACCCGGGGCCTCCCGACCCCCGAGGGGCCCTGAGCCCGCTCCTCCCGGGGCTCCGGAGAGGGGTTCAGGGCAGTTCCCGCCGCCCCCCGGATCCCCCCGGCCCCTCACCGCAGCCGCGACCTCCCCGGGCGAGAAGGCGGCCCCGCCACCGCAGCCCGGCCGCACCCACCTGTCCCAGTTGCTGTCCCAGTAGCTGCCGCTCCCGGCAGGTCTCTCGATCCAGCCGGCGGTCGGCGGGCAGGAGGCGGTGGGCGGTAGCAGCAGCAAGCCGGGCGGCGCGGCGGAGGGCACGGCGGAGCCCCCCGAACGCGGCTCGCTATCGCCACCGCCGCGGGCCGGCTGCTTGCCCACGACGACGGCGGAGAGCAGGACGGAGCCGCCCGCCAGCCCGCAGGCGGCGAGCGCCAGGGCGCGGCCGACCGACATGGCGGGGCGGCCGCGTGCCCCTCACCGGCGAGCCCGCCCCGCTGCGCCCCGCCCCGGACGGAGCGCGGTGCGGGGCAAGATTCCTCCGCGAACGGGGAGGACGGGGCGGCACAGAGCCCACCGACCCCCGGCCCTTACAGACCCTCACGAGCCCGGCCGGCCCCTCTGCCGCAGCCGCGGTGCCCGCGGAGCTGCGCCCGCCTCGGGCCGGGCTCAGGGGCTGGTCCTACCCAGCCGCTCCCAAACCGGTTTCCACCCCAGGCGGGTCACCGTGTAGGGCTCGGCAGGGGATTCCCGCCAGCCCTGCCTGGTTTAATCGCCCTGATGCCGTGATCAATCAATCCTTCAGGGTGGAAAAGATTTCTGCGTTGAGTCCAACCATTAACCCGGCACTGCCGAGTCCGTCATATTTATTATAAGCCCTGAGCCTTATCACTGTGCCCAGCTGCTCCTCTCAGTACAACAAAGACCAGGAGTGCTGGAGAGGGTCCAGCACAGGCCGTGAGGTTGATGAGGGGTCTGGAGCCTCTCTTATGAGGGCAGGCTGTGGGAGCTGGGCCTGTTTAGTCTGAAGACTCTTTTTCACTGGTGCCCGGTGATGGGATAAGGACCAATGGCCTTAAACTGAAACACAAAAAGTTTCACCTCAACATGAGGAAGAACTTTACATTGGGGGTGGCAGAGCACTGGGACACCTGCCCAGGGAGGTCGTGGGGTCTCTTTCTGTGGAGACGTTCCAAACCCACCTGGATGCGTTCCTGTGTCACCTGTTCTCGGTGACCCTGCTTTGGCTGGGGGTGGGACTGGATGATCTCCAGAGGTCCCTTCCGACCCCAATGATTCTGTGATTCTGTCATACAGGAATAGATCTCTTGCAGGCAGCACTGGGTCCCTGGCACTGGAAACCAGCAACCTGCGGTTTGGGAAATAAAAGTGTCACCAGCCAGGTGGGCTCAGCAGAGCGGAACTGGCAGCACCCACCTGGGCATTCCCTTCCCACCTCTTGTGCCTCTGGCCTGAACGCTGCTCCCCTCTTCACACAGAGACTCCCTTCAGAAGCCAGAGCTCATTACAGCTCCACATTGCCTTGTGCAGAAGAAAGGCACGGTGGAACTGGAATGTTAATTACTTCACACTGCAATGTTAATTACCTATAGATGGCCAATGGCGCTGTCTTAACCTCACAGCAGAGGCCTTATGGAGAGAGAATCAGAACAGATCCCTCTTTTTCTGAGCTGACATCCCAAATTCAGCACTGGTTTTTACCTGTCAGATTCAGCAGTTTGCAAATGGTGACAGAAGTGCTGCTGAATGTGGACCTTGGGATGCCAGCAGATTCTACAGATTCCATTATCCAGCCTTTATCTTACCACTCCTGTCCACCTGTTCAAGCTTTAACTCCATACCCACATTCCCCACACCACAAGTTCTATAATACTGTTCCTGCTATTCCCCTGGCATGCCAGCTGGGCAGACAGTTTCCAGCTGCCAGATTTCAACCGGTGTGAGTGACTGCAGAGCCACCGAGACCAGAGCCTGTCCCCTGCCGAGCACACAGAGATGTGTTCCCCTGAGCCCGGAGTTAGCAGGGACAGCAGGGGTACACATGGACACTGTGCCTGCCCAAAGAAAATGGTCTTTCTGTTAAAGTTCAGCCACCTTCCAGCTCTCCCAGCGGAGTGTCTTTCCCCTGCCCACCACTCCGTGTCTCTGTCTCACACACATTCCATGCAGAGGAGGCACATCAGACTGGAGCACAGGTCCTTTGGCTCTGGGGCATTTCACAGACCGACAGTGGATCCCAGGGGTCACATAAGTAAATCGGACCCTCATGAAAATCTGCTACACACCCTCCTTTATCCTTCTTGCCTGCTCATTCTCTGTATTTAAGATACTCAGCTTTCTGTTTCTTCTTATATAGCTTTAAAATGGTAATTTAATTATTTTCTTCAGTTTATCTTATTATATAGGCAGGTGTGTGTATTTATATTGTACATGTTCTTTCTTACCAAGAACCCAGAAGAAAAAAGTTTGGTTTCAAAACCTTACATCCACTTCCTCCTAAAAGCAGCATGGTCCCTTTTCCCCAGGTCTCAGTCTCCGAAAGTCCTGCAAATACTTTCAAAATATTTTCTCTCATAATGCCTTTTCTCTTTTATCCCTAGTAATACTTATTCTCCATTAAATGCTCCCACTGGTGTCCTGCCTCTTCCTCTCCAGCCTACCCTCTAACCTGAATCCCATTTGACCTCCAGCATCTCACAAAAGAAGGAAAAAACTGCACCAGACACCATCACTCACTTGGGGACAGGGACAGGCTGAAACTGGATCGGACAAATAAAACTATTCCTGATAAATCTCTCAGTAGCTTGAACTGAATTCTAAGATCATATGGTTCCATTTGAAATGTCAGTGCTATTCGAGGTGCATTGCTCACACAAATATCTGCCATTTGAGTAAAAATCCAGTAATAAACACAGGCAAGTTTCTGGATGACAGTGTCACCAAATGCACCAGGGCTGAGCTCTGCTCACCACCAGGAAAGTTTCAGACTGTTATTAAGCAATAGTCAAATTTGTTCCCCAGCACAAAAAATGTATTGCTGAACATCTGAGCAATCTCATTATGCTAGAAAATGAGAATGGATAATATTTTTGTTTGCCTCAGTGCTGCATTTTGGCTGTCATTCTTCTGCACTAACTCTTCACCATCAGCAATCTCATGTGCCTGTGCTCAATTCTGCAGTTTGTTTTGCTTGGGTTAGGTACTAGTACACTTTAAACAATTCGTGTTGCAAAGTCTTCTGAGATTACCTTAGATTTTCCTCAGTATGTCCAAACATGTTATTAATTAGATTATGTTTACCACTTTTTAAAACTTGCAATTCAATTAGGTAAAAAAAAAACCCTCAGAAATAATTTGTTGAAGATTACCACTAGCTTGAATATACAGTCCTGTGTTCCATCAATAACTACCCAGCTTCTTTCTCTTTGTTCTTTTCATATGTATTTATATTGCTGCTATTTTAATCCAGTTTTATTGTGTTGTATTTCATCTGTAAGCAGAAAATCCAACTAAGAGGATAACAACCTACTGATGCCCACTAATGGAATTATTCTGTTAGTGAAAACAGTAAATGCTTGTGCTACTGATGCCATAGGTCCAATCCTCAGGGATGATTCCCAGGGGCTTATCCCATTTCTGTGGTTTGATGCAGAGATACCTTCAAGGAGGATGCCCAAGGTTAGGGCAGCCTCTGAACTGTGCTGTGACTAGAACAAAGAAAAGAGAAGTCAGAAAGAGGTTTCAGAAAGGTCAACACAGGTGAGGCCAAATAAATGGTTTCCCCTGGCAGGCAGAAAAACCCCGTGGTTAAAGCAGGCCCAGCAGCCCTCGGGGTTAACTTCACCAGGAATACAAACAATTCATCTCTGGATGGGACTTGGACCAGCACAGGGATGAGTCAGTGTTTGGATGTTTTACCATTAGCTACAGGGAGAGCAAGGGTAGGTCTCTAGCCTACAACTGGCAAGCAAAGTTTATGAACTTTCAGGCTTATTTTTTTCAGACAAAACAGAGTAATAAAAGGACATTTGAAACAAGGAAAATGTGGTTTTGAAAAGCCTCTTCCATGACCTCAAAAATTTTTACTCACCATGTATCACCTTCCCACTATTAAAAAAAAACAAAAACAAAAAAGTGTAAATTTATTCTTGAAAGAACAACAGAGAGAGAGAGGAAAAAAGTTAACATTATGTCATTTGAACCACATGTGTTCAGACATACACTGTGGACTTACTGCTGGCCTTCTTAAAGGAAATATTGATGTCATCCTGGCCTGCTTCGGATCCTGCAACATTTAAATGATACACTAAACTTTTGGGTTATAAAATGATGATATTTAAGTTCCATTTTTTTTTTAATGGAGCAAGAGAGAATATCAGTTTTAAGCAACTTTGGTTAGTATGATTTGATTAGTTAAAAAAATATTTTGAAGCAGATGCTGGCTTCCTGACTGTGTCTGACTGCATTGCTGAAGGGTAACCAGGACAAATACTGTGTTGGTTAAATACAGCAATTTTGGGAGATTGTGGCATGAAAGAAACTCTGTATATATATATATTATAGCAGTGATTCAGATCTTGAATTTAATCTAGGTGGTATGAATCATCTACTAGAGGATTCTTCAGATTTACTTTGACCAGAAAAAAAATGGGAAGCACATTTAAGATGAAAGACTTGTCCTCTTCCCCAGGCACACTCTCTATAAGCATATTTAAAAAGAAGGCTTTGCCTTATCTAAAGCATACAAAGTCTTTATATCATGAATTATTAATCTATTTTTCAATTTTGCTCTCACAGTCATCATCTTTCTAACTGAAGTAGATTGAAAGATTTTTTTTTTTAGTAACAGTGGGCATCGCTGGCGAACTGAAGTATCTGAAATACACCTATAAAGAACTGCTCATTTCCTGGGACTGAATCCGTTTCCCTACTCCTTTAGTAAGGAGTGATTGAGCCTCTTCAGTACACTAGGACTGAGAATTAAAAAAAAAAAAAAGCCTCCTTGCAAGGTCTTGTGTTTCTTAAACTGCCCCCAAATGGTTGAGACTGCAGTGACAGGACAGTTCTAGGAGGAGTTCAAGGCCAGTCTTCTGTCTATTGGCATGTGAAGCTTTGCCTCTGACAGAAAGCTTAAAAAAAAAGAGTTTCTACAGGGGATAAGAATGAAAATGTAGAAAATTCCTTCAGATGTGGGGTATTACCTGCCAGATCTCTGTGTGCTCTAGAATCACATGGGGTGTGCCTTGAATGCTACAGGGCACTGGAGATTTCTGGAAATGGCTGTCACCCCATCATGTGCAGGGACTGTGTTTCCAGCCTTAGGTGTCTCACAGTTTGTTACTGACAAGTCCTGCTCAGTTGCTTTGCTTTCAGTCATCTAAATCCACAAGTTTTCACTCTACCAAACGCATTCAGAGTTGCAGATCAAGACACAC